GTCAAGTCAGCTACCAACATGGTCGTCCAGCAGAGGGGTCGTGATCAAAACCGTCTCCCCTATTAACAATTAATTACAACAAAAACAACCTCTCCAGGCCTGTAGAGCACTGGACACCAGGTAGTCTCTGTGTGTTTGCGTCCAAATCACTATTCTTCACTCCGAAAGCGGCCGATCTGCTCAGTTTAATGACGAGCTGTAGTAGCATCAGCTAAATTAGCACTCTGCTATCATCACACAAAATACGATGAAGCTATATATTAACAGCTTTTTAAATATATTGCTGAGATTATCCTCCGCTGAGCTGCAAACGGTGTCAAGACACAGCTACGCAACACTGCTAGCTAGCGTTAGCTTCTCAGGCTCGATTAGCCAGTTAGCTTGTGAGCACCGTTAGCTCGGCTGGGTGGACAAGCTTCAAATCAAAAGTAAAACCCCTATTTGGACCATCTGTTTTGTTATTTTAGACACATATGTAGTGTTCGGGATGTACTTAAATTAAACACAGCCTCGACCGAGCTAGTCGCGGCGGTCAGGACACATCAACTGCCCGTGTTGTTGGTGTAAAATGGCAGCCTAGCTTCTCGAGCTGCTCAATAATGAGTCAGGAAAACAGTCCGCTAGCCGTTTAGCATTAGCCAGCTAGCTCCTGGCTAGATGGGAGAAAAATAGCGCCGCCGGCTCAACGTCCGCGCCTCTGAAGTGTCTCCTTACCATTTTAACGCAGTCGCTGTCGCCGTGTAACCGTTGTGTGTGTTGATTTTCGGGGCTAAAAGCTGCCTCTCCCGCCGTCTTGCGTTTCCCTGTGCGTGTGTTTGCTGCCCGTTGCTAACTGCGACCGCACAAAGATCAGCTCAGCAGCCACCGAATCATGCTGCCTTCAGGCGCCGTCGGAAATATGGACGCTAAAACAGAAACGAGCAAGTGAAGTGATTAAAAGTGGAAAATGTTTTTTTCATTTTCCACTTTTTTTTCTACATAGTTTCTACTAGAGCAGGGCAATTAAACAATAATATAATTATGGCAGTATAATTTGACCTCAATAACAATATAACAAATGTTAATTACATTTTTGATTTAAGGGGACATGGGCAAAAAAGAAAGTATCTTTCTTTTCACATCTTACATGTAATTAAGGGATATTATTATCTTTCTTTCTTCTGAGAACCAGATACTTTCTTTCTTCTGAGAACCAGATACTTTCCCATGCACACCAGAAACTAACTCGTGCTTGTCCCCTTAGGGGCTCTGTACATTTCAGTAGCAATGATAATAAAGATTTTTAATAATAATAGTAAAAAAAACAAATAATACCTGTTAACATTAAATACATTTGTTCTGGTTTATTCAAGCTTCAGTACAGCTTTAAAGAATTTTGCTTGAGAATAAATGTGTTTATGATTCCACTGATTGATATGATATCAAAGTGATCAAAAATAAAGTGGTTTTAATTGTTCAAAAACGTGTTGATGGAGCTGCATTCTTTATTCTGTTCAAGTATATTACAGTTTCTCTTTCTTAGATGCAGAAGAAAAAATATAGACAAGTCTGTAGAGTTTGAAAAATAGAGGCAAAATATATGTTATAAAATGAACCTTCTTATCTCTCGGGAATCAACCAAGCTTTGTTCCAATCCACATTTTATGAAATTACTTTCCCAAAGGGCTATTTTAATATTCCTCCACCTCCCAAGGATAACTCCAGGACATCCCTTTAACCTTTTACCTAATAAGTTGCTTTACGTCTATGACAATTTGGTTTTGTATGCAAGATGTTGAGAATTATGAGAAAGCAAATAAGTTTTTTATTTCTCACGGGGAAAGTAATTTATTGTATTCAGGCCAGATTCATAAACCAATAAGTAAGAAAAAGAAAAATAAGAACATGAAAATGACTTTAAAAAATATTCTTCTTACTGTCGTGTTAGTTTTTTAAATGCTGATTGATTGAGATAATCCCTTGTATGTGTAAACCTAATTGTCAAAAAAAAAAAAAATCTGATAGTGAAGAACTCGGCATTGAAACGTCTGAGCTTGTGATGATCCCTTGAATGCAACATCGGCGTCACAGAATGGCGTCTCTGCTGGACTACAATCATGGCTACACGAACAACAACTACAGCTGCTCAAACTACAGATATTGCAATATCTCTTACGCATGCGCAGTTGGCTGCTTCAGTCACCTAATATGACATTTTAATTATGCATTCCCGAGACGCTCGTGACATTTAGCTCCCTGTCCTTTATTCTGTGTGTGCGTGCGCGTGCGCGCGCAAAGACTGCCAATGTTACCATTTGAATCATCCTAATGGCAACAAAGATATTTCCCTGCAAAAGATCAAATGGCTGTGACCTTATCGTGCTGCTGTGGTATTTTAAGCTCTATGCTCCGACTATAATATTTATTTTTATAATATCTTATTTTTCTGGAGGGATCCAAATGTTCTCCAAACACAAGTCAGTCTTCATTTACATGACATGTTGTGCCGTCATCTTCATCACTCTCCCACCCTGTGCACCTTCACCGGCTCTGAAACAGGCAGAAAGCGACCTCTACTGGCGGATGACAGAATTACACGAGGACTTTATTTACCCTGACATTATCTGTTAAAAAGTGAATGCGATACCTGAACCCTTAAAGGAAAACCCATGTGATATTCAGTATTTTTCTTATTTGTCAAGGGATTCAGTGAATTTATCTCCTATCGAGTCCTGTTGTGTGTCTCACAGCCTGATGTCTCTTCTTCCTCTGAGCCACACAGCTCTATTTTTTCCAGGAACTATTAAAACCCATCCGGGAGCCTCACTGGGTTTCTTCATCACCATGTGGTTTATACTGACTCATTCCCACACTGTAAGACATTTCAGGTTAGTGCAACTTGGAAATGCCAGTTAACTCAACTTGAAGACTGCCTTTGATTCAACTCAACACAAAAAAATTATAAAGTTGATATGAATACAGCTTTCTAGTTGTCTCAACATTGCTTTTTTTTTTTTTAGTTGACTGAACTTTTTATAATTTGTTTCACCTTCATCTTCAAGTGTCTATATTTTATTTGAAATTTGAATACATGATGGTTTAAAAAAGACAAACTCAAAGGACACAGCAGCTAGGCTTTTTTCTTTCTCTTGCTCCCATCCCTGCACACCCACCTTTAACTGATAACTTACAAAAAGTCAGACTCAAACATAAAACAATAAGTTTAACTCTCTAAAACACACACGGTTGAGTTCAAACCCCCAAACCTGTCAGAGCTCTTAGAGTTTAAAACAAGGAGTTAAGTGGACACAGCTTAATGGGGCTGTAATGATTTACAGTGCACACACACCATCCTGCTGCCCCAAATACTCACTCGAGTATCCACATGTGGATTCATCCGCCGCTCAAAATAGTCCCCAGCAAACGCACTATTGCCTCCTGTTTAATCGAAAAACCACAATGCTCAGCTGTTTAGGGAAATAATCAACACGTTACAAGTGCTTTACAGGAAGAAATGTGGGGAGAGACAGAAAAGACAAGATAGAAATAAATATTAATAGGTTCAAAGTTTAAAGATGCTTTTTAAGTGTCTGCACTGATTCAGCTTCTCTAAAAGCTGGGAGGCTTCTCCAGAGTCAAGGAACAACAACAACAACAACAACAACAACGAAAGCTGGTGTAATTTGTGAAGAAGATTTAGATGATTATTTCTAAAATCTTTAAGCTTAAGTAGAGGTCTGGTGGAAAAAGTGAGCGTTAATCACAGTTTAACTTGTGCAAACAGAGTCCTCACAACATGAGTAATACAACAACAGTGGTATGACTTTACTGCACATGTTTACTGCACGACTTCAGCTCATTGGCTGGGGTTCTGCGTCAGGTGAAAGAGTGGGAGGACAACAGATACAGTAATTCATGTCCGTTTACATTCCTGCCAGTCATCTCTGTACGTGCGTGCTTCATGTAAGAATGGCGTGATGCGTTCACTGGCCACGCCTTTACCAAGGTGCAGGAGATGAAGCTGTCTAAGAGTAAAGCAAATGATCCGCATTTAAACTACTACAGGTACGGTATAAGTGGACTTTTAATAAGAGATTTCAGTTTAAAATAATTAAATCAAACTTTTAATGAACTTAATCAACACAGAAACACAGATATCCCGTGGGAAATTTACAATATCAAAAATGTGTGTATAATTAATACATCACGTTTGCATTGGTGGAAAGTAACAAAGTACATTCACTGAACTACTGTACCTAAGTGCAACTCTGAGGTACTATTTTATTTTATGTAACTTTAATTCCACATTTCCGATGGAAATATTGTAACTAACTTTTCTGATGAAGATGTAAAAAAACCTATAATGAGTTTATAAAATATGTAAATTTAGCTCATACATACGTAACTTTAACCGCCAGCAGTTCATAAAATAAGTAATATTAGCTCTGCTGCAGTGGGCTGCAATATTAAAATGCTGCTTATTTGTTGCACAGTGAGTACTTTTACTTTGATACTTAAAGTACATTTTGTTTTACTCAAGTACAAAAACTGTATTTTTACTTGTGACAAATGTTTTTTGAAAAAAAGTAAAATGTCTAAAAACTTCTTCCACCGCTGCAAATTAGTTCCTGAATCAAGTTAAACACTACATTACCCATGAGCCTCGGAGACGCAATATCAGACTTCTAGCATGAATCAAATGCTTTATTGTTGCAACAATGACCAAAATTCAAACTAATATGATCCCAAATTTTGTCCCTTTTAATGACAGTGTCCCCGGTTTGATTCTGGCTACGGACCTCATGTCCTCTGATTGTATTTCCTGTCTGAAAATAATAACAATAATTGGTGAAGAATATATTTCAGGGCTTTGTGGGACTTGACTTGTGCACAGCCGTCTTTGTAGGATTGTGAGCAGCTTTTGTACGACTTATTTCTTCAGTAGTTCCAATGAAATCAGCTGACAGTGTGTTCGGTAGATTATTCAGTGTAAGCGGGACATAACTTCTGAAAAGACACGCTGCTGTAAAGTTTCTTTAATGTGATTTCTCAACAGGTGGAGCTGCACAAACAAAAGCCATTAACCTCAACTGTACTGGGGCGGAAATGGACAAACAACTCAAAACATGAAAAACTTAAAGGATCATTTCTGTATTTTAAACCCTGAGACCTTTTTGTGGACGCCATTTTGACGGACGCAATTGCACCGAAGGAATATGTTGCAGCCGGATTCACGTCTGCTGGCTGAAGCATCTACTGCAGGACTCAAAACGTTTTGTACCTGCTAGTCATTGCAACACCAACATATGTGAAAATAGGGCCCAGGTTTGGAAACACAGAAATGATCCTTTAAGCGAAAAAAAGTTCTTGAAACAACCAATTAAATGTTTTATCTAATCCCACTTTCTATTAAGGCGTTATAAGATTTGAGTAATGGCCTCGTTAAGGGTTTATCCATCAAGCTGTAATCCTTTAGATCACTGCAAAGATTAATAAAAAAAAGCTATTGGGTTGCTAGTTTGTGAAAAAAATAACGTCTAATTTGGGCGAACTAACCCTTTAAACTGTAGACTTGTACACGACAGACATATAATTTACAAATTACATAATATACTGAAGACCTGTACACAAAACATAGCGTATAATTCTCTTCACGGGTCCACAGTGATGTCAGAATACACACAAGCAGGGTTGTTCTTTGTATCATGTCATGAGTACATTTTTCTATATGTGTTTTATTTAAATGTTGTATTTAAATATGTTTGGACTCATGTGACCTTTGTGTTCACAACATCTAGAGCGAGGAGTTGAGCTGCCAGCGGAGACGGGAGGAGAGGCGACGCTCAGCTCTCCAGGACGGGGGTTTGCTCCATCACCTGCGTCTTCATCTGAAACAACAACAACAACAACGATGCAAATAAGCTCCCTATCGACTGGTTGTGTCCCTGATTATTTTAAAACGGCTTGTGTGAACCCACTTTTAAAGAAACCTGGTTTAGATCCCTCCCTCCCACAAAATTTTAGACCAATTTCAAAACTGCCTTTTATTGCAAAGATTCTAGAAAGAATTGTGTCCAAACAGCTGCTCACTGTACTGGAAAATAACAAAATATTTGAAAAGTTTCAGTCTGGTTTCAGGAAGTACCACAGCACTGAGACTGCCCTGCTTAAAGTCACCAATGACCTTTTAATGTCTGCTGATGAAGGTATGTGCTCAGTCCTTGTACTCCTGGACCTTAGCGCTGCTTTTGACACCATTGATCACAACATCATGTTAGACAGACTGAGGCACTGGGTGGGGATCTCTGGTACTGCTCTAGAATGGTTTTCATCCTACCTGTCAAATAGGAAGTTTTGCGTGTCTGTAAACAACTATGTCTCTTCGTTCTGTCCAGTTAAATATGGTGTGCCTCAGGGGTCGGTCTTAGGACCCATTTTGTTTTCCTTGTATCTGCTTCCCCTTGGACATATTATCCATAAACATGGCATTTTTTTTCATATTTATGCTGATGACACACAAATATACTTGCCCGTCAGATCCACAGACCCTGGAATGCTGAGTTCACTTAACAACTGCCTTTGTGAAGTTAAAAAATGGATGTCAAATAATTTCCTCCAGCTGAACTCAGACAAAACAGAAATCCTGGTCATCGGGTCCCAGCAGATGGCAAATCAAATACTGCCATCTGCTGGTTCGCTAGTAAATCACATTAAGCCTGTGGTAAAGAACCTTGGTGTTTGGTTTGATAGTAATTTAAATTTAAATTTTCCTATTTTAGCTTCATTACACTGGCTCCCAGTATGTTTTATTTTATTCTATTTTACTAATTTTATATTTATCTTAAACGTGTATTTTAGTCTTTTCAATGTTTTCATGCTTTTATCTTGTATTGTTTTTGTATTATTGATTTTGGGTATTAATGTCTTTACACTTGTTAAAGCACTTTGTAACTTGTAAAGTGCTCTACAAATAAAGATTATTATTATTATTATTATTTAAATAATGTTTAATGTCAGTGTTTTTATAAAGAGAGCGTATATCCCATAAATACTTCCAGGTAAAAAACACGACTTTGGTTCTTTTGAACATGTTTAAAGTGACTTTTTTCAGTCTGTCTTTGCCCTTTACTCTTTGCGTTACAAGACCAGAAACCAGTGGTTGACCGTGAGTAAGTACAATTACTCAAGTACTATATTTAGTACAAATTGGAGGTATTTGTACTTTGTTTGAGTGTTTTCTTTTCGTGCCACTTTCTACTTCTACTTCACTAGAGATATTGTACTTTTTACTCCACTGCATTTACCTGATAAATGAAATAACTAGTTAATTTACAGATTTAATTATTGATACAATTTAGTCTGACCGGTTTCCTCTTGGCCTGCATCATTTCCTGCTGCTGCTTCAGCCGTACTTCCTCCAGACTCATACAGCCACCTGTTAACACAGACACACACACACCTGAACAGTCAGATTGATGGATTACATCGAAAAGACATAACAGTCCTACTTTGTGTGTGCGTCTCACCAACGCTGCTGGGGTTAATGGAGACGTAAGCCATCGCTCTGCTCAGCCGAAGCTCCTCCAAAGCAGCGAGCTCCGCTTCCGCCTCTGCTCAACCAATCACACGTCACATGACAATGAACCTAACGTGGAAATCAACGGTATGAATCCAATTTGATTTTAAGCGCGCAGGTGTGAAAACTCACTTCTCTGGATCTCTCTTCTTTTTTTTGGGTTCGGGGGGATGACAGTGAAAGCTTTGGGACTGAAACAGAGAAACACATGAATATAAAAACCTGAGCGGAGGCTGTGCACGGTGAGCGGGCAGACTACATGTGGCTCCCGGCTGACCTGAGACCTTAAAACAGCCAATCAAAGTGCTGGCAAGTTTCTGGATGTTTACACCGAGTTCACCTGCAGCTCTGTCACACCAGCGGGGGGTAAAGCGTGTGGGATTAGTCCTGCAACAGATGGCCGAGGAAGATACCTCAGGACAGTTTACTTGCCTTTTGTTACAAATGTCAACACCTCCAGACTCTGAGCTGCAACACAGTAACATGTATTATTGTACTTTTACAGTTAATTGCTGGCTTGTAGGTTTTTATTTTCTATTTGACTGTTTTTTAGTTGGTACAATGTCTTTTTTATTATTTCCCCTTGTTGCTTTAAATTGCCTTGTGGCTGAAATGATATGATATTGTAATATCATAGTTACAGCAATTCACAGTAATGAACCCACACAGCATTTTTCTAAAACTACACTATTTTATTTCTAAATTACAGTATGGTGCTGAACACAAATCACAGTGATTACTCATAATTTACCATTGTTACTGTTTTAATACTGCAACTCAGTATTACAGTATCTGTACTTCATTGAAATACAGTAAATTTACATTTACACATTGCCCAGCACACATAGCCTACACAAATAATATAACTGATTATGTTTACTGTAAATGTACTGTAAAGATGCTGATGACCCCCGTTTGAGTTTTGAATCAGAATATCTGTTTTACTTTCGCTCTGAACTAACAAAGCAGAAAATACTCCTTTAACAGATACCGAATGTTGTTGCGGTTCAGGAGCGTGAAACTTTATTTCACTCATAAAAGCTCATTTCTGGCAGATGTGCGCAGCGGCACAGGTAGGAACGTGTAAAATATACATTTTTCTAATGTCTTGTTGTTAATTTATTGATGACGCGAGACAAATTTCAAAATGTAAAGACATCTACAGCTGCAGCCTTGAACTTTACTCCAGACTGCTGAAAGAAAGCAAAGCATTTTAAAGGTGTGATCGATTCAAACATAAAGTGGACATTGATATGAAAATGAAAACTACTTATTGAAGGTTTCTTTTGCATTTCAATGATGCTCCTGTGAGAAGTCTCATTCAGCTAGTTCCCCCAAAGCATCTCTATCATATTTTACTTTCAGACATATGTATTTTTTAAGATTTTAGACTTAATAAAAACATGTGACCTTTAACATATTCAATACAAATGAACTTATTATCACTACAGAAAATCCAGTGGAGCAGCTTTCAGAGCCATGAGACACTAAAAGCTCTCTTGTTGCAGGCATGGGAAGACAACCTTAAGGAGCTCTGGATGTCCCCTGAGACACTTCCCTTCTGTCTCACCTCTGACTTGCATGTTTTGTCTCAGCCCTGACCCCCCGCTGCTCCCTCGGACCCGGACCGGCGGCCATCTCTTGGCATTTTGGGTAAACAGCAGCGTGTTTCAGAGAGTTAGTCGCCCTGCGACAGTCCGGGTTTGTCTTGGGGCAGTTTGCGGTGGTGCTGGGAGCGGTGGAGCTGGACCTGGCTCTCCTCTCACAGCTCGTCTTTACGGCTGCGCGCTGCGCCCCGGTGCTCCTCTCGCACCTGCTGTCCCGCTGCGGACACCTCGGGCAGCTCGACGCGCGGCTTTTACGCACAGCGGGCACTTTGAGTTCATTTTCTGTCCCGTTGACCGCTCTTACCTTCACCGGTTTGGGCTTCTCGAGGGTTTTTCTTGTAGCCTCTACAGGTTTTTGCTTTATTACTTGTGTGGCTGGCATTTTTATTTCAAGGTAACGCTCCTGTCTCCGGCCTCAGTGCAGGGAGGAGCGCCCTCATCCTCTGTAGATTAAAAGGCAAAAACCTAAAATCTCAATTTTGTCTCTCGGTGGTTCGGTTGCTACGGAGCTTGTACCCTAGCAACGGAATGGCCAAGTCACACAGATCAGGGAAGGAGTTCTGGTCAAAACTTTCAAAATAAAAGCAAAACGAACGGAAATGAAGGGGAACCTTTAATAGTAGGAATAAGAAATAAGAAAAGGGGAAAAAACAATATAAAAAATACTGGTTATACTTGTTATGCTGATGCACGGCCTGTGGCTGCACGTTTGGCTTTAGCTGCTCAGGGTTCATTTCATCCTTCACTTATTCAGAAAAACCAGAAAATTTATCTTCCACAGCTTTAACAACCAAATAATCATTTTTAAAGGAAACATGCAAGAAAATCACTGGTTTCAGCATCTCAAATTCTGGTTTTCTTCATCTTCTTCGAGTTATTTTAAACCTTCGAGTTTTGGACAGTTGGTTGAAAAAATAAGCTGTTTGAAAATGTCAGTACAAGATTTATCTTTGAACTTCCACTGTTTTATCGACCAAATGATTAATCAAGAAAATAACTAAGCTAATGTGCCATTAGCATGTTTATGCTGCCCATTGACATATAGGCTTAGACTCGGTTAATAATAGGGATTAATAAAGTTATATCTTATCTTAACACATGTCTGCAGCTCCTCCAAAAACTGTTTAAGGATGAATCCACACTGAAGATTGGCAAAAAAAACACGGAGCAGGCAGGAAACCCCTCCTGTGCAGATGTCTCTACACCTTGAAACATACAGAGACATCACTGGTTCACATTGGAAGTAGTTTTTGGCTCCTCACCAGTGATTTAAAGTTTATCTTACTACCCTCTGTTTGCAGTTCTACATTTTATTTTGAAGGCAGAGGCGCCTGGTTTCCGGTGTGGCCCCTGCCTGTCTGTGCCAAGTTTGATGCAGCTGCAGATTAAATCTCGTGACGCAGCAGAGTATTTGTATCAGTAGGTGTCCGTGCCCGCTCCCTGTCCAATGACAGAGGCTCATCCGATTACTGACACGTGACTCTACACAGGTCACATGACCACATGCCGTGAGATTATGCATTAGGCCTACATAATAAAAACTATAACTGGATTTGTTTGTTTCGTTTTAGTGATACAAACTCCACAAAATAAATAATTTTAAAAATAAGTTCTGGATCCTAATCTAGGCTCTACTTTTATCAGAGGCTGCTGTCTGTTTCCAAATTAATTATCACTCTCTCAATATAATATATTATATATGTTGTTAATGATTAATCTTAACGAGTACTGTTTTGCCAGTAGTCAAGTCACACACCTCTACCATTTATAAAGACACAAATATTTTACTTTTTATGCCTCTAAATGTATTTGTTACTTTAAGATTTCACATCAGTTTGTAAAAATTATGCTTTTTTAATGCGTTTTATACAACAAAGCAGTAGATAAAGTCGTTACACATTAATGAAATCATATAATATAGTGTAACACTGTGTGAGGGGCCGTTTTGCATATTGAATACTAATCTTTGATACATGACACATTTTGCTTATGTATATGTACATAGTAGACATGTAGGCATTAATGCCCAACACTGAATGAAGGACTTTGGCTTGTAATGAAGGAATAGTTACTGGTAACTAAAAAGCACTAGTCGCTAAATAATAGTTACTAGTAAAATGGAAATGGTTACTAGTGACTATTCAATCAGTTACTAGTAACTATAATGAAAAGTATATCTGAATTGCAGAGCCCCGTAGATTTAAATAGCAAAAAATTAACTATAGTCACTAGTAACCATTGGACTAATAACTAAAGATAAAGCAATAGTATCTAATCAATTCTTACTAGTAAAACGGGAATAGTTACCAGTAGGCTAACTTCTAAATAACAGGTAGGCCTATTATTAAATAGAAATTGTTAAGCTAGTATTAAATATTCAATAAGTTACAAGTAACTTTGACTCAGTGATATCTGAACTGCAGAGGCTCATAGATTTCACTGGCAAAAATGTGCAGCTAGTTAACTAAAAATAAAGTACTAGTTGTTACTAGTTAAACGGGAATAGTTACTAGTAACTAATAAATAAAGTACTAGTTGTTACTAGTTAAACGGGAATAGTTACTAGTAACTAATAAATAAAGTACTAGTTGTTACTAGTTAAACGGGAATAGTTACTAGTAACAAATAAATAAAGTACTAGTTGTTACTAGTTAAACAGGAATAGTTACTTGTAACTAATAAATAAAGTACTAGTTGTTACTAGTTAAACGGGAATAGTTACTAGTAACTAATAAATAAAGTACTAGTTGTTACTAGTTAAACGGGAATAGTTACTAGTAACTAATAAATAAAGTACTAGTTGTTACTAGTTAAACAGGAATAGTTACTTGTAACTAATAAATAAAGTACTAGTTGTTACTAGTTAAACGGGAATAGTTACTAGTAACTAATAAATAAAGTACTAGTTGTTACTAGTTAAACGGGAATAGTTACTAGTAACTAAAATAAAGTACTAGTTGTTACTAGTTAAACAGGAATAGTTACTTGTAACTAATAAATAAAGTACTAGTTGTTACTAGTTAAACAGGAATAGTTACTTGTAACTAATAAATAAAGTACTAGTTGTTACTAGTTAAACAGGAATAGTTACTAGTAACTAATAAATAAAGTACTAGTTGTTACTAGTTAAACAGGAATAGTTACTTGTAACTAATAAATAAAGTACTAGTTGTTACTAGTTAAACGGGAATAGTTACTAGTAACTAATAAATAAGTACTAGTTGTTACTAGTTAAACGGGAATAGTTACTAGTAACTAATAAATAAAGTACTAGTTGTTACTAGTTAAACGGGAATGGTTACTAGTAACTAATAAATAAAGTACTAGTTGTTACTAGTTAAACGGGAATAGTTACTAGTAACTAATAAATAAAGTACTAGTTGTTACTAGTTAAACAGGAATAGTTACTTGTAACTAATAAATAAAGTACTAGTTGTTACTAGTTAAACGGGAATAGTTACTAGTAACTAATAAATAAAGTACTAGTTGTTACTAGTTAAACGGGAATAGTTACTAGTAACTAAAAATAAAGTACTAGTTGTTACTAGTTAAACAGGAATAGTTACTTGTAACTAATAAATAAAGTACTAGTTGTTACTAGTTAAACGGGAATAGTTACTAGTAACTAATAAATAAAGTACTAGTTGTTACTAGTTAAACGGGAATAGTTACTAGTAACTAAAAATAAAGTACTAGTTGTTACTAGTTAAACAGGAATAGTTACTTGTAACTAATAAATAAAGTACTAGTTGTTACTAGTTAAACAGGAATAGTTACTTGTAACTAATAAATAAAGTACTAGTTGTTACTAGTTAAACAGGAATAGTTACTTGTAACTAATAAATAAAGTACTAGTTGTTACTAGTTAAACGGGAATAGTTACTAGTAACTAATAAATAAAGTACTAGTTGTTACTAGTTAAACGGGAATAGTTACTAGTAACTAATAAATAAAGTACTAGTTGTTACTAGTTAAACAGGAATAGTTACTTGTAACTAATAAATAAAGTACTAGTTGTTACTAGTTAAACGGGAATAGTTACTAGTAACTAATAAATAAAGTACTAGTTGTTACTAGTTAAACGGGAATAGTTACTAGTAACTAATAAATAAAGTACTAGTTGTTACTAGTTAAACGGGAATAGTTACTAGTAACTAATAAATAAAGTACTAGTTGTTACTAGTTAAACGGGAATAGTTACTTGTAACTAATAAATAAAGTACTAGTTGTTACTAGTTAAACGGGAATAGTTACTAGTAACTAATAAATAAGTACTAGTTGTTACTAGTTAAACGGGAATAGTTACTAGTAACTAATAAATAAGTACTAGTTGTTACTAGTTAAACGGGAATAGTTACTAGTAACTAATAAATAAGTACTAGTTGTTACTAGTTAAACAGGAATAGTTACTTGTAACTAATAAATAAAGTACTAGTTGTTACTAGTTAAACGGGAATAGTTACTAGTAACTAATAAATAAAGTACTAGTTATTACTAGTTAAACGGGAATAGTTACTAGTAACTAATAAATAAAGTACTAGTTGTTACTAGTTAAACGGGAATAGTTACTAGTAACTAATAAATAAATAAATAATAATAATAATCTTTATTTGTAGAGCACTTTTCAAAAACAAGTTACAAAGTGCTTTAACAAGTGTAAAGACAATAATACCCAAAAGACAATAATACAAAAACAATACAAGATAAAAGCATGAAAAACATTAAAAAGACTAAAATACACGTTTAAGATAAATATAAAATTAGTAAAATAGAATAAAATAAAAGGGATAAAATAAAGTCAAATAAGACCGGGAAAGGCTCTCCTATAAAAGTATGTTTTAAGAAGGGACTTAAAAGAGTTCACTGACTCAGCCGACCTGATTTCCTCGGGCAGGCTGTTCCAGAGCCTCGGGGCCCTGACAGCAAACGCTCTGTCCCCTTTAGTTTTCAGTCGAGACTCTGGAACAGACAGCAGACCTCTGCCCGAGGATCTCAAGGTACGTGCTGGTGCGTATGGGACTAAAAGGTCAGAAATATAACAAGGCGAGAGGCCATGAAGAGCTTTAAAAGTGATCAATAGAATTTTAAAGTCAGTTCTAAAACATACTGGGAGCCAGTGTAATGAAGCTAAAATAGGAGTAATGTGGTCATATTTCTTTGTTCTGGTTAAAAGCCTGGCAGCTGAGTTCTGGACAGTCTGGAGTCGATCAATAGATTTTTGGGTTAAACAGGTGAAAAGGCTGTTGCAATAATCCAGGCGTGATGAGATGAAGGCGTGTAAAATGGTCTCGGTGTCCTTAAAAGTTAACATAGATCGAATTTTTGCTATATTTCTAAGTTGATAAAAACATGATTGAACAAGCTTTGTGGTGTGCTGCTCGAAATTTAAATTACTATCAAACCAAACACCAAGGTTCTTTGCCACAGGCTTAATGTGATTTACTAGGGAACCAGCAGATGGCAGTATTTGATTTGCCATCTGCTGAGACCCGATGACCAGGATTTCTGTTTTGTCTGAGTTCAGCTGGAGGAAATTATTTGACATCCATTTTTTAACTGACTAAAGTACTAGTTGTTACCAGTTAAACGGGAATAGCTACTAGTAACTAATAAATAAAGTACTAGTTGTTACCAGTTAAACGGGAATAGCTACTAGTAACTAATAAATAAAGTACTAGTTGTTACTAGTTAAACGGGAATAGCTACTAGTAACTAATAAATAAAGTACTAGTTGTTACTAGTTAAACGGGAATAGTTACTAGTAACTAATAAATAAGTACTAGTTGTTACTAGTTAAACGGGAATAGTTACTAGTAACTAATAAATAAAGTACTAGTTGTTACTAGTTAAACGGGAATAGCTACTAGTAACTAATAAATAAGTACTAGTTGTTACTAGTTAAACGGGAATAGTTACTAGTAACTAAAAATAAAGTACTAGTTATTACTAGTTAAACGGGAATAGTTACTAGTAACTAATAAATAAAGTACTAGTTGTTACTAGTTAAACGGGAATAGTTACTAGTAATTAATAAATAAGTACTAGTTGTTACTAGTTAAACGGGAATAGTTACTAGTAACTAATAAATAAGTACTAGTTGTTACTAGTTAAACGGGAATAGTTACTAGTAACTAATAAATAAGTACTAGTTGTTACTAGTTAAACGGGAATAGTTACTAGTAA